TTTGTACCACCCATTTTAAATTTACAAGATGAAAATGACCTTTTACATGCATTGGTATGGAGGCATGTATGTAAAATCTAAAGTTTAGGTGATGGACATATATACATCGGAATTGAGAGCTATGTATTTAACTCTTCAAAATAAAAAAAATAAAAACTGAAATTTATATACATACACCCAATTCTTATACATTAACTAAGGGTCTGTTTGGGGCAGCTATTTGGTGCGTTGGAGTTTCAAAATGCACTTGACATGTTTGAGTAAACAACTTTTTGACGGCTTATACGTTTTCAAAACACTGAAAATAACGTTCACACCTATCTAAGTGTGGTGGGAGCTATCTGACTGTGGTATGACTTTTCTAAAAAATTAAAATTTATAATAGTCAATGCAACTAGTTTATCAATAGATTATTTTTAATCAGCTTATCAGCAGATTATTCAATAGCCTGCAACTGTTTCAGACAGACCCTAAATCACACCCAAAAATTTTTTTTTTTTGAAATGTCCTAAATTTTAATTTTTACATCCTAAACATTCTAACCTATGTATAAAAATGATTGCTTACATTATTTTCAAATTTTCATACAAAAGAAAAGATGCTTCAGGTGAAAAAAAATTGAAGTTTGGGTATATATATAAATTCCCCAAAAAATACTTGGAGCTCCGTTAAGACTCCGTCTCTTGCGCCGTTAGGAGTTCTTCCCGCTGTGATGGGCTTCTCCAGAATCCGCTACTGCAAACTTTCGACCACACATCCTTCTCCAGTTGAATAAGCTCCGCCGACGGCGACCTCACCGGCCACGAATCGCCTTCCACCACCACGAAGGAGCTGCGTAAGCGGGTAAAATCAACAAGCTCCTCATCCATGGCAGATCCGATCTTGTCGGACGACCCGCTGCTTCCGTTATCAGATCCAGATCCGGAACTGGACTCGGAGTTCCATCCAGAGCTAGACCTAAAACTAAGCAGTTTCGCCTTCTTCTTAGAGCGCCAGAGGAGGATCCGCTTCCGGAGAGCTCGGTGGCAGAGTCCCGCCGGCAGCCGCACGACGGCGAAGATGATGAGGCCGATCAGACCGAAGGGACAGCAGCAACAGATTGCGGCGCACTCCGCAGTCTTCCCACCGGCGAGTTCCGCAAAGCGTATGGTGGGCCGAGGTGAATCCTTCAGGCAAGTTGCGGTGGGATCGGACCTGACGTATTTAGGCGGCGGGTGAGGGGATGAAGCCATGGGGCATTGGACAGTCGTTTGCCTCATCAGGCTTCGGCAATCAGTTGCAGAAACGGATGGCGATCATTTCTGGATGATTCGCTGGTTGCCGTAGAAATCTTTGTCCGGTGACCGGCGGAGGAGATTGGTCGCCGGAGAAATCTTTGGTCCGGTGAATGTGTAGGAAGGATTTATCGGGGAGTTGGGCGGAAACAGCGATGAATTCGTTGGAACGCTCGAGAGGGAGGGGGGAGTGAGAAGGCGAGAAATTGGAAGGGGAGACCTAATTGGAATTTATAGAATCGTTACAGCAAATTTGAGCTAAAATTTACTGCAGTCATTATTATAATAAATTATTATTATTATTATTATTAAGGGGGATTTTAATAAATGTCACATTAGACGTCCTAATTTTGGTATGTTGAGCCCTAAACATTTTTATATTTACTTAAATAACACTTAAAGTCTTCTAAATACATCAAATCTACCACATTTCTCAACTCCAGCTGTCGTCTCAAGTTGCCGTTTGCTTCTTTCTTAGGGTTATCAAAAAGTTCGTTGTTCCGGAATTCGCGTCTACAGTCTAAAGAGTTCGTATTCCATTCATTCAATAACTAAAAGAGAGGAATATATATA